CCCAGGCAGGCAGGCTGGCCCCAGGGCCGATGTTTTTGGCCACTGTGCTCTAGGATAGAGCGAAGACCCCACCATCGCCCAACCTCCAGCTGGGTTGATGCGGCCCACCCCTGTTGATCCTGCCCCATTTTTTTTTTGCTGGGGGCCCTGGCAAGTTTCCCTGCTGGGGCAATGCTTAGCAGAACCAGCTCCCATTCTGTTGATGGAGACCCCTTGGCCTACTCCTGGTCACTTTCTGGAGGCTCCACCAGCCCTTTCTTACCTTGAATTCTTTCCTCAAGCCTTGGAGGAACTGAAATGTCAACAGGGCCCAAAGCTTCTCTGTGGAGTAACTGGCTAAGGATGTCTCAGGCCGAACCCCAGCTGTGCATCCCTGGGCAAGTTACTTAGCCTCAGTGTGCCTCTGTTTCCTCATCTGTAAAATGGGGCTAATGGAACTGTTCCTTGTGATTCTCAAGTGGGATAATGTACATTGAAGGGCGAAGGTCGACTGCTCACTAGACCTTATTTTCCATCCCACCCACCCCCATCCCGTGGAGGGGAAGAGACGGGGCTTGATTTCCGTTCCTGTAGTTTCAAGGGGCAGAAGTCAGAGCTTTGAGAGGCTTGCGGCTTGTGTGCAGGCTTGCGGGTAGGAATGGTCGGCAGGCGGGCGCCCACCTTCTCCTTCGCAGGGGGTGCTAGTACTCCTCTAACGGGTGAGTCTGAACGTCTCCGGGGGAGGGGAGGCGGAGCTTCTAGCTTCGGGGACACCCAAAGGCTGGAGCAAAGATCCGGAATCTTGCAGCCTCAACTTCAGTCACCTGGGCAGCCTGCCCAGCTGGCCATCGGGTCTCTTTCCCGGGTGTCAGCCCACCCCTACGACGCCCACAGCAGCGAGCAAGCAGCGCCCCGCAGGCGCGGGCCAGGGCGTAGGGGCCACCCACCTGGGTCTGGGGCTGCCACGCCTGCGCCACGGCCACACCTCGGAGCCGCGTGGCTCACTTGGCAGCCAGCCCGGGCCCCGCACCCTCCGGGCCGCCGCGCGCCCCAGGCAAACCGCCGGACTCCCAATCCGGCTGCGTCGCGGCCAAGACCGGGCAGGTCCGACGCCTGCCGTGCCGCGGAGTTGAAACGCTTGCAGTGAACGAGCCGAGGCCCGGCCTCGCCCTGGAGCAAGAGGACACGCCGGGGCTTGCTGGCTGGCCGGCTACCCGCGGAGCCCGGGTGTCTCGCCCGCGCTCACCCCTCCGCGCCCCTCGCCTCGGACTGCGCCCGCCTTCCGCACAAAGAGGACCCCGACCTCCGGGGAGGCCGGGGCGTGGAGAGCGGCTCCAGCACCTTCCAGAGGCTGAGGCGAAAGCTCGGTCGCACCAAGAACCCCCGAGCCGCTGGAGCGGCGTTTGTCGGGAAGCACAGTCGCAGATCGTGCGCCCCGCACCAGAACTAGTGCGAGATCCGGGGCAGGAGCCCCGGGGGTGCGGGAAGCAGGTGTCCCCAGGCAGGCTAGCGCCCGCATTTCCATCAACAAGGAAAGCGGGCAGCTCTTCTTGGGAGCGGGCTGGGAGGCGGCTGCTCAGAGAATCCCCGACAATTTCCTTCATAAAAATGCGATCTGAGAGCGCTTGATTTCCACCTTCACTTCCCCCGCCCCGCCCCAACACACGCACGGTCTGCAGAGACACTCGAATTGCAGCCACGATGGGACTAAAGGAAGCAGTTACCTTATATACTGCAGAGGCGGCGCACGGGAACCTGGCAGCCACCGCAGCCGCTGACCGCCGAGCGTTGGCCTGAAGAGCCTGCGGGTGCTTTGAAACTTTGTTTTGTTTACGCCCGGGAGGTGCACGTGGTAAAAGCAATAATCTAACTCTGGACAGAGAAAAGCGGTCCTGCGGAGGCCAGAGCGGAGGTGGCGAGAATCCAGCTGGACAGAGGAGGGAGGGTCAGTAAGAGGGGGAGCAGCGGATCCTCGTTCTCTTCTTCCTAAGACTGTGCCACCGCTCACCGCTCCGAAAGGACTCGTCCAGACTCGGCCGGAATGATGCCCCCACCCCCGCGCCAGCGCCCTCCCCCGGCGCTCACAGGCGTTCTCCGCCGACCACCAAGCGGGGACCCCAGCTCCCAGTCGCGTGGGACTACAGACTCATTTCTCAGACCGCCACCTCTCACTTAGTCTCCAAACTGTCGGGGAACAGAGATCACCCAGGGACCCATTTCACACCCTCTGCAACCCTTCTCTCCCGCGGAGAGCTGGGGGGGGGGCGCCAGGCACGGTTGAGTCTCCCTCCCCCGCCGGACTAAGCAGTCTCCGCCGTGGCCAAGAAGAGCGTGGCTGCGTCTGATTGTTCCCAGGTTATTTTATCCCTCCAGTTTCCTCCTGGATCGAGTTCCACCTTTGCCATCAACTCTGCAGGAATCCCCCAAAGTCTGCAAATTCAGACACCTCGTAAGCGATCATTTTGTTCAGAGCAAGCGTTTCCGAAAGAATCGTCAGCAGCTACAAAGATAGGTGGAGGGGGCTTACTAAATACCCTCCGGAGGAGGGGGCCGGCGGGCAGCGCCTGGACTTTCATACTCCCCACTTCCAGCCTCCCTGACATTTAGGCAAAGAAAAGAAAAAGAGAAAGAGGAAGAAGAGACGGAAGGGGAGGGAGGGGAGAGAGTGAGCAAGAAAGGAAAGAAGTAAGAGAGAAAACGAGAAAGAAAGAGAAAAAGCCTCAAGGAGGGAGCAGAAAGGCTAACTTTTTCAGTACGAAACTGAAACCATCAACCTAGGCAGCCTCGTGGAAACGCCGGGGCTGTGAAGGCACCCAACCCAAACACAACCCCCGGGACAGGGCTGAGAAACGCTGTCTGAAGGGAAAACACCAGCTCTGTGCCGACCGCAGACGAGCTTGCAGAGGTGGGAGGAGAGCAGAGGCGAGTGGGTCCGGTTCTCCCCAGCCCCCCGCTCCCGGCCCGCTCGGGGCAGGCTCCCTCGAGGTGGCCCTCGAGCCGGAGCGGGCCGAGCAGGAGCTGGGGCGGCGGGAGCAGGACGCGGGCGGCCGGGCAGCCTGGCCGCGGCGGGCGGTGGATTCCAGGAGGGGGCGGGCAGGCGTGTTGGTCGACCCGGACCCAGAGCGGAGGGTGGGCTTTTTCTGGGCGGGGAAACCAGACACTTATACGCGGCTGAGGCCGACTTTATTTTTACTGCCCAAACTGTTGGAAAGTATTTAAGCTTAAACAGAAACAGCTGTATCGCTGGCACAGGCCGGCGAAACTATTTGTTACCGGGAATGACTTTTTATGATTAAGGACGCGGCCGTCGGCGGCCTCTCGCGGGCGGCCCGCGTGGGTCGCCGGAGCGATCTGAGCGTCGGGGGCGCGCTGTTCGTTAAGATGGAACGGCCGGGGAGATGAGACTGTTCACCCAGGGCCCACCTGGCAAGGTCTGGGAGCAAGGCCAAAGACTCTGCTCCGCGTTTCCAGGGCGGGGAAGGAAGGCGGCCCGCGCTCTGCTCGCCCGCCGCGCTCTGGACTTTGGAGAGGGGGCCAGGAGGCGAGCTCTCGGCTCCGAGCTTCCTGCCCCTGGACTCAGACGCCTTAGTTCGGCACCTTCTCTCTGTCTGTCTGTCGCTCTCCTTCTCTCTTTCTCCCACCCCATCTTTCGCCAGGGAAACCGCTTCTAGTCAAGTTGGTTATCAAGGTTTTAACTAAGCTGTGCGTTCGGAGGAGCGGGCGCTGCGACTTGCAGCTCGAGTGACAAGAGAAAGGGGTGGGGGAGCGCCGGCCCAGCCTGCTGCCCGCACGGGCCCGCAGCCGAGGACGGGGAAGGGCGGGCGGTGTGCGCCGTGTGCACGCCAAGGCCACAATGCCGGGCCTTTGCCCTCCTGGACCCGCTAGCTTCGCGTGGAGCCCGTGTCCCGCCGCCCGCCCGCCCGCCCCGCCGCTTCCCGCGGCGCGCGGCTGTCTGCGGCGCGCCTCCAGAAGAGCTGTAGACTGGAAGTGGGGCGCAGGCCCAGCCGGCTCGGGGCTCCGTGGAGCCCGACACGCCCCGGCCGAGCGCCAAGTCCTGCCCCGGGTGCGTCCACGCCCTTCCCCCGACACCCACAGGCCCAGGGCGGGCGCGCGGGCAGGGGCAGGGACCAGGGCAGGTGGCTGCGTCCGGGACGCATCAGAGGGCGGGAAGAAGGCGCGCGCGCGGCCTGCGGGCTCCGGGGCCGTGGGAGGCTGGGGCCGGAGCAGCCGGGCCTCCCCCGGTCTGCACTCCGCTCCGGAGCTGGGGCGGCGCCCGCGTCGGCTCTCAGGGCCCCCAGGGTGGCCGAGGGCAGGGCTGCGCGACCGGAGCCCGAGACCCAGGCACAATGATTTGTGAGCGGGAGGGGGCCGGCGACGGCGGGGGCGACCGTTGCCATGGAGACCGAGGGTCGGCGTGCGGCTCGG